AGTGTGCACGCCGACGCCCGTTGGACACTTACAGGCGTTATGGGATGGGATGGGAACGGGGGTGGGGGCGCATGACTGGTGGATGGGCGGATGACGGTGATGGTGGAGCGGGTAGCTGGGGCTGAAACAAGGAGATACGGTGTATTTGCGGTTTGCGGGGTGGCGGCCAAGACATGCGCGCTGTGCGGCACGGCTGTGGCCAAGGAGGTGAGCAAGAAGAAGTACGACGGAGGGTGGTATCACAGGACGTGCTTTGTGTGCTCGGTCTGCGGTAAGGGTCCATCCAAGAAGGCTATGCGTGTCTCGGGCGGTGCCTTTTTCTGCAAACGCCATCTCAAGGCTCATCTCAAGGCTAATCCCGACGCAGTCGACGAGACCAAGCCATGGGAGGAGCTAGCCCCGGCGCCGGCATCATCGTCGGCTAACGGAGCCAGCGGCGCCCACGGAAAGAAGAAGGCCAAAAAGGGCAAGTCGGAGGGTGAGGCTGCCGCGGATGCTGCTGCTGCTGCGCCCGACGCTGCAGGCTGCGAGCCTGTTGTCTGTGGCTGGCTGACCAAGCAAGGCCATCTGCGGAAGAGCTGGAGGCGGCGGTGGTTTGTGCTTGCGGCCGACTCGGAGCTCTCGTATTATGCCGAGGACGACGGCACCGCTGCGCCCAAGGGAAGCTTCAACATCGCCGAGGGAGCCACACTTGCTGCCGCCGAGATCAAGAACCACCCGCACGCGTTCAAACTGACGTCTGCTGAGGGCAAGGCTTTCCTCATCTCTGCCGACTCTGCCGAAGAGTATGACAAGTGGATTGCTGCGCTCAATGACAAGTGGATTGCTGCGCTCAACGAGCACTGCGCATCGTCGACCATTAATGATCCGGCTGAGCCCGCCACTCCGTCCGACGCGAGTGGAGACGACGACGATGCCGAGCCCGAACCCGAGTCTGAGGTCGCAGCCGAGCCCGAGCCCCAACCTGCAGCCGAGCCCGAGTCTGAGGCCGCAGCTGCACCTGAGCCCGAGTCTGAGGCCGCAGCTGCACTCGAGCCCGAGCCCGAGGCCACAGCCGAGCTGGAGCCTCAAGCTGCAGCCGAGCCTGAAGTCGCAACCGAGCCCAAGCCCACCCTCAAACCCGAGGCTGCACCGGCAATTACGACGACGGCCGTGTCCGAGTCAGACTCTTCGTCAGACGACGAGTCGGATGACGATTACGCCATCGGGCAGGTGCTCGACGTGCGGATCAAGCAGTCCCGACTGCAGTACCTGGTGACCTTCAAGGGCTTTCCGGACCAGCCTCCGTTTTGGGAGTTTGCCGACGACCTTGACGCCGAAGACGCCATCCGGCACTTTAACCTTCGCGTCTCGTCCGACTACAAGCGGCGGCGATCATCGGTCTCGATGTCCATCGACGACTGGGAGATGCTCGGTGAGCTGGGCCGCGGTGCCTTTGGGCGGGTCGACCTCGCCAAGAAGCGTGACGACCGGTCATCCAAGCCAAACCTTTACGCCATCAAGACCATTTCCAAGAAGAGCATCGTCGATAAGGACGAGCTCGAGCACACCCAGACCGAGGCCGTCGTCCTGCGGACGTTGCGCCATCCCGCGCTTGTTCGCATGCACCTCGCTTTCCAGACGGCAGCAGACCTGCACTTTGTCATGGAGTACGTCGAGGGTGGCGATCTTGTTGACCACTGGAAGGCAGCCGGCAAGTTTGACGAGGCGAGCACGCAGTTCTACGCCGCAGAGGTTCTTGCCGGCCTCGATCACCTCCACCAGCACGGCATCATCCACCGCGACGTCAAGCTGGAGAACCTCCTGCTCGACTCCTCGGGTCACGTCAAGATCTGCGACTTTGGGCTGGCCAAGGGCGGACTTGCTGGAGGACAGACAACCCGCACTCTCTGCGGCACCTTTTCATGCCTTGCTCCCGAGGTTGTGCTCGGTGAGGCCTACGGCCAGGCTGTCGACATCTGGGGTCTTGGCGTCGTCATGTACCAGATGATCACCGGCGAGCTGCCGTTCCCGGCCTCGGACCGTAATGAGCTCTTCAACGAGATCCTCAACAACGAGGTGAGCCTGCCTGACGATGTGTCGCCGGCGGCGGCCGACCTCATTGTCCATCTTTTGTGCAAGGATGCAGCCGAGCGGTACACCTCGGAGCAGATTCGCGCCCATCCGTTTTTGCCGATCTCGACTGGAACGCGGTCGAGGTGCACGCTCTCCCGCCGCCGCTTGTCCCGCCCAAGGCATCGGCCAAAGCGCGCCGACCGTCGATTGGTCTCGACACCGGCAACGAGACCGGTGATCTGCCCGAGGGCATGGATGTGGTCTTCAAGAAGCTGCGGTTCACCTTTGCTGCCGACGACTTTGACAAGATGGGCTGGACAGCTGATGTGACCGACAACCTGTAAACAAAGCATCGCCAGGGACTGCAGTGTGACATGGATCGATTGTGTTATTCTGCCCTCGCTGGAGAACGGGGGTGCGCTCTAAGAAGAGCGCAGGTTGTTGTAGGACGTGTTAGGTCCAGAGCACGCGTGCGCGAGCCGAAAGGCGAAGCTTGCTTACTTCTTCTTCGACTTGTTGGGGAGGAGGACGGCGTGGATGTTGGGGAGGACACCACCCTGGGCGATCGAGACGTCCTTGAGCAGCATGTTGAGCTCCTCATCGTTGCGGATGGCGAGCTGGATGTGGCGCGGGTTGATGCGCGCACGACGGTTGTCGCGGGCAGCGTTGCCAGCGAGCTCGAGGATCTCAGCCGCGAGGTACTCGAGGACAGCAGCGAGGTAGACCGGAGCACCCGAGCCGATGCGCTTGCCGTAGCGGCCCTCCTTGAGGAACCGATGGATACGGCCAACCGGGAACTGAAGCCCGGCGCGCGAGGAGCGCGTGCGCGACTTGGACTTGCCTGTGGGCGTGGAGATGATGGTGAGTGGAGGAGGAGAAAAGAGATGGGATGAGGGGCATGATGTGTCAGCAAGTGTCCGTACCACCGCGGCCGCCCT